TTTCACGTGTAAGAGATTCTAAAATAAACTGTCTAGGCACAATGCTTGCTCTCTCCTTCATCTACCTTCTTTCAATCCTAGATTTTTAAAAATTCTCTTCCTGAGTAGCATGTTCTTCCAGTCTCTATGTAATATCATTTCCATAGGAGGTAAGCCATTAGTCAACTTAAAAAAAAAGTATATGCTATGGATAGAACAAGTACAAAATAATTATAATGAAAAAGCCATAAGTCATGTAAGACATAAACACAAGGTTATTAAGGAAATATAGACCTCCAAAGTTCCTAGGAGGAATTACTTAAGGAGAAAATAAATCAAGTTGGTTCAATGGATAAAATATCGTTCTATAGATGGAATAAGAGGATAGAGAGATATAATTTTCTAGCCAAAGGGAATGTCATATACAAGGAAAGGCACAGAGTTAGAAACACGTTCCTCGTACCTTCCTTTTCCCCCAGGAGGCCATAAGCAAATTAGCTTAGCTAAAGTTTCAAAAATGGAATGATAAGGAAAATTTTATATTAAAATGTGATACCATGGTAGATCTTAAATGAGGAAGATGTTGTTTAAGAGAAATGATTCCAACTACTGTTTTTATAATGAGCCACAGTGAGGGAGGCCTGGGGAAGGAGACTAGACAGGAAATTCTTGATTCAATGGCGTACAGTCATCCCTCAGTATGGGGGCCGGGAGGATTGGTTCCAGAACCACCACCACCCCCCTGCAGATACTAAAATCCACGGATGCTCAAATCCCTTAGTCGCCCTCCATATCCATGGGTTACACATCCATGGATTCAACCAACCATGGATTGTGTTCTGTGTTTACGTCCCCAGTTGGTTGAATCTGAAGATGTGAAACCCGCAGATATGGAGGACCGATTATCAAGTGAAAAGGACCTAGTGGATGCTACAAGAACAGAAAAAAATAGAGCTTTATTTATAAATTGTTACTTTATACATCAAATTTAAATTTTTTTGATTGCAAGACCTCACTGGCCTTTGCTTCTTTCTCATGAGCACCAGCAACTCTTGCCTGCTTCCCACCAATAGAAACACCAGCTAATCATTTTCTCATCTTGCTTCTCTCTGTAACTTCTTTATTTCATGTATTATTCAATGTATGCATTATTATTTATGTATTATTATTCAATTTATTATATATTTATATGTTATTCAGCTTTATTATTATTCAACTTAATCTTTTTATGTATTATTCTTCCTGCCTGAGGAACAATGGATTGTGAAAAGCATGACATTTGCATTTCTCCACAGAAAGGTCACGTAAAACCATCCTCCTATATATTCATTCCTCAAACATTTTTTTTTTCTGTAGCATATGACAGCATTAAAAATAGAGATATCATTTTTCAGTTTGGCATGAGGTGTGTTAGACTGCAGACATTCAAAATAAAATTAAAATCAAAACAATGCTAGTTTGATTCATGATTAAAATGTAATAGCTAGAAACTCTACCCTCATTTCTCCCAGAGAATTGACCTTTTATTTTTATTCCTTCTTCAGAGAGTTTTTTTCCCTTTGAGAGGGGGGTCACTTTGTGTCTCCCCTAAGTGCTTAGCCTAGTGCCTTGCACATCCTGTGTACCAGTATAACTTTATCAATTAATGGACCCCAAATTAATTCCATTTCGTGGGAAAACAAAGGCAGTTAAGCCTTCTTTCTAATACTACCATTCTTTATCTGTTTCTAAAGAAAATCGTTTCAGTGTGGAGAGTGCACCTTCCCATTCTTATTTTTACTATTATAAGTTAATTTTGTTGTTTAAGGAGAAGACAATTTGTGGTCCCTTTTACAACTTGAAGAGTGAATTTGATTTTGTTTCTGCTGTGTTGGCCTCTATGATTCCTCTGTGTGTTCTGAACATGAAGGTTCCACTATTATACGGTACATGCCTAGAGAGAACCAGAAATCTAAATGGCCCTATAATAATTACCCAGTAAGGCCAAGTGTGTCATTTTGACTAAGAAAATGCAAAGGCTTCATTTCTCAAAAATTACATAGTTGTGAAAACTCATATTTAATTTTATTCAATGCCTTTACCAGAGCTTAGGTCACTTTTCAAACGGTAAAACATAATGATAATAATCACCTAGATTCTTGAACTTCTGTACAAACACCCTTGATTTATGTGCCCTTTACAAAAAGAGACTCATGTGAATTTGGCTGGCTTTAATGAAAATTCTGAAATAGTTACAGTAGTTGCAATGGCTTTGATTGATCTTCTTCTCCACAAATGACATAACTAGAATGACACTCATTTTGCTTCCCAAGCTCTGGTCATATTTAATTGTTTTAAATGATGTACAGTATATGCTTTATTATTTATATTATGGAGTCTTTAGAAATTAACTTACACAGGTTAATTTTATTTTAAATTTATATTTAAGCACAGGTAAAGCATAAGAGTGTCAATAGAAAGTTACCAGTTTCTCTTTCTAAGAGTTAACTTGAAGTTAAAAATTTGGATTGGAAACTTATTACATCATCTATAAAGTGAGGGATGGAATAGATGTTCTTTATCCATATTTCTGGAATTAACTTCCAGCAGGCCAAAACCTATATTTGTAGTATTACTTTTTAAAATCACATAGCTGTTAAGTGAAATTAAGTATTATTTTTGGCATTTTGAAGGTAACTTAGCTGAAATGAATTTCCTTTGTCTATTTTTTAAAAGGTTTTAAAATTTTCTCTTTTTTTCTGTAGTGGCATTAATTGTCGTGGTTTCACTAACAATTTGTTTCCTTGGTCTTTTCTTTTTGAGAAAGATAAAGTACACTGATTTGTGTTCACTGACTCATCAAAGTTCTGGTAGTTGAGTGACAGCTGTAGCTTACGGCTACAAATACACGTGTCATTTTTGTAGACTATGATGTCTATGTATTTACAGTAGCATATCCATTCTTTAAGTACCAGTGTGCTTAAAACACATATTTAATTTTATTCGATGCCTTTACCAGACCTTAGGTAACTTTTCAAATGGTAAAACATAATGATAACTAGTTTCTTATATTAAAGGAACCATGAAGTCTTTTTCTCATGCCAAAAAAAACGCTGCTTAATTAAAAATGTAAATTGTATATATATTTTATGTAATTAAAGTTTGGGTTTTTTTTTACTTTTAGTAAAGATTTCCTTTTTTTTAGAGATGCAAACTGAAATATTTATAGGTGAAATTATATGATGTCTGGGATTTGCTTCAAAGTAATAAAGGGGGAGTGAGTGTAGATGGGGTAAAGATGAAATAAGATTGGCTATGAGTTGAGAATTGATGAAGCTGGGTGATGAGTACATGAGAATCCATTACTGTCCTGTCTACATTCAAAATTTTTGATAATAAAAATATAAATTTTATAATTCATATGATTTTTGAAACATTTTAGTATAAATTTATAAACCTCCATAAAATCAGCATTACTCAGTGTGTTGAAAACAGGGCACATCTCTCCTACCAACAGGAATTTCCTCCTGAATTCTCTCTTCCAGCTAACTGCATGGTACAATCTCTTAGTCACCCACAATGATGACCCTCTACATCGGGTATTAATGAATTGCTTTAGTTCTGTTGAAGTATCTATTGTATTAGCTCTATCTCCCTTCTTATTTCAAACTCTCATCATCTATCTTTTGGCAGTATAAAATATTTGTGGAATGAATGAATAAATGCAGACCTGAAGCTTTTTCCTATCGTAGCACTTTTTACACTGTTTTATCATTCCTTTTTAACTTGTCTGTATCCCCTCACTGGATTTTAAGTTTTATAGAGGCTGAAACCAAATCTAGTTCACCATTGTGTCCCCAGCAACTAGAGCCATGTCTGGTATAAATTAGGCCCTCAATAAGTATTATGGAATGAATCTATTAATTAATCTATCTGCTGAAGTGGTCTTCATGATTGCTGTCTCCATTTCAGCTAATTCATCCTCCATGTAGTTTCTGGAGGGATTGCTCTAAACTGTAAATGTGATCGTATTTCGCCCATCAGTAACATTCCCCCATCAGGGTAAGCATTCAGACGTTTATACACGGAGTCCATGGCCCCTGATTGTGTGGGTCCTGCCAGCTACTCGCTCCCTCCTTCATCTCTATACTTCACCACTCCCCAGACTATTTGTGCTACTTGCATATTTTATGCTCCCCTTCTTTGGAACGTTTCCTCTCTTGGGAATTGTCATCCCCCATCCACATTTTAAACATGGCACCACCAGGGGCGCCTTCCTTACCCTGGGGAGGCTGAGGTGATCACTGTTCCTGTGCAGGGAGGCTGGAGAAGTAACAGCAAACACCACACCACCTCTGCTGTCAACACACACCCTCCCTCTCGATTGTTGACGACTATTTTCTTCTTATCATTTTCCTCTTCACTGACAGTGAGTGTCCCCACAGCAGCAATTACTTTTTGTTTTTCGTAACATCCTCACTTTACCTGGCAAATGGAGGAACCCAATAAATATTTGCAGAATGAGCAAATTAAGGAATGCATTTTTTGCTAAACAAGTAATGAGTTTTCCATAAAGGATGTTAAATCAATGATACACTTACCAGTGTACCCAAAGAGTGTTTTTCACATTTGTACCAGGTTTTCCTCTCTTTTTTTCCACAGTGCGGTCAGCAGGTCAAAAGACAAACTCTCGAATTGTATAAATCTAAGAATGAAATGCTGAGGTAAAAAAGACCTTGATGTGAACCAAGGGGTCAAGGGAAACGTGATACTTGGTTTTTCAGAAGTTTCAGTAATAGGAATAATTCTGATGATAATTTTAATGAAGGGTTAGCTTGGGTTAGCTTCAGTGGAGATTGTTTCTGACAGATATTTCAAATTTCCAACACAGCTGGATCTTTGATCCTCAGTATATATTTTGTAAAAGAGCCAAAAGTACAAAAATCCTAAAATGTTGGAAAATGAGATCTCTAATTATGTTAACGTGAACCTTATAGCTTAAGAAAGTCATAAAGCTTGGGTTTTTTGCTCTTCCTTTGCAGATATGTCTTCTCCGACTACTATGAAGAAGCCTGAAAAGCCATTGTTCAGCTCTACATCTCCACAGGATTCTTCCCCAAGATTGAGCACTTTCCCCCAGCACCACCATCCCGGAATACCTGGAGTTGCACACAGTGGTGAGGAGTTTCAAGCATAGAGGAGAAGCCTCCCTCTTGTTTGCAGAGCCTATACCTCAGGGGTGGAACAAATGTTCATAATTATCGCTATGGTGACCATATTTTCTCAACCAAAAGAGGGAGGGTCACAATCTGATTGAATATTTTTTTCTTTATCAAAAGATGAGAAAAGATTTTCTAAGCTATACAATGAAATAACATTTTTGTATGTATTTTTTAAATTGTCTTATTGGAAATATTACAATCACAAGAAATTAGAAAACATGGGGTGCATAGTTATCTTAACTAGAGCTTCGGGTCCTAATTCTATATATTTTACCAAGGGAAAGATGTAATTTCAGTATGTTGCTGAGTTTAACGTATTTCCAAAGGTGATATGATATATGGACACTGTTTCCATAGATGTTATTTTCTATACAAAAGTCAATATTTAAACTACTTACTTGGGAGTGAAATTAATCAGAAAAGTAAAAGAGAGACTTTTCTTTGGCAATTATTTTATATGCAGAAATCCTTCCTGTGGGCTAGTACACTTGATATTATGTCTAATATCTTAATTTAAATAGAAAGAATCCAGTATTTCATATTTGCACTCTAAGGAACAACTAATATTTCTTCCAAAAATTAAAAATGAGATCTAATTAGCAGAGCCAGCCCCATGACATAGTAGTTGAGTTTGGTGTGTCCCGCGTCAGCTGCCCAGGTTCCCAGGTTCTTTCCCAGGCACGGACCTACACCACTCGTCGGCCACGCTGTGGTGGCAACTCACATATAAAGTAGAGGAAGATTGGCACAGATGTTAGCTCAGGGCTAATCTTTCTCGGGAAAAAAAAAAATGAGAATTAATAAGCAATACTGTATACTTTCAACCTATTACTCTTAAGCCCTAGAAAGGAGTAGACTGAATTTTAGGTAGAGAAAATTTTAAATATAAATATGTTTATAGTGATACTCTTATTGCTTTAAATTTATACTCAGGCAATTCCTTGTCCTTCAAACAAATTGAATTATTTTTAAACCTTTATCCAAAGGGTATAACATCTGTTAAAATAAGGTCCTTAGCTTTGGTCTGAATGTAGCTGTTTAAGTGTATGTTGACGTGTGTTTTCACTATACTTAAAAAATGCATAGCCTTTATTGCTATCAATCAGAAAATTATAGAATTAAGAGAGGAATATACAAATCAAATGTGGTGTAATTACATCTATTGTTTGTAATGCTAACATAGGTGAAAAAAATCAGTAACTATTTCATCGATTTGTAATGCTGAATATTTGGACAAAATTAACTTAGAAGTCAAAGCATCTGTTTATTATGACACCCATTTAAAATATTCATATTTCTAACATTTGGGAAAAAAAATAGTAGATTTTTATATAATGAACCATGGAAGACCTAGATAAGCCTTCCACCTTGGTCCTTTACCAGATATTTGTTCAATATGTAATATATTAGGGCCTGTGATAGGCCCCTTGGTCTTGAGAGACAGTTTCTGTCCTTAAAGAGCTCATGGTATAGCAGGGAGACAAAAGGACCACATCATGAGGTAGGCATCGAATCTAAACAGGTCTAGATACTTGGCGGAGGATTAGAGGCCTGGAAGAGATGTGTTCTGAACTAAAATTTGAAGAATGAGTTCATCACAAGAAGGAACCACAAGCCAGGAAGAAGGTCGTTTCAGGCAGAGCAAATGGCATGTGTTAATAGTAGAGGTCGTGGTAGCAAGGAACTGCCATATATCCAAGGATCCATAAATATCTTAATGTGGCCAGAGGAGAAAGTGGCCAGAGATGAGGCCAAAGAAGTGAGGCACGACTGGGTCCTAAAGCACTTGAGGGCCGTATAAACGTGTGAAATTGTTGGGATTTTATTCTGGAAGCAGTAGGGAGTCATGAAAGATTTTTGGCAGAAAAGTTACATGATTAGAATGGTATTTTTAAAAAAGTCATTCATATGAGACTATAAAGGATGTGTTGGAAGGAGCAGGACAGGAGGAAAGAAGACAATTAGGAAGGCTTTGCAATAATGTAGGGAAGAAATATATATACATATGTATGTATGAATTGTTTCATGATGCAAGGAAACATTTTTTGCCTTGTATTTTGCTTTTCTTTTTTTAAAGGACTAGAATGACTTTTATTGATAAAGTAACCATTTTTACATTCAGTTTGAAATATTACACTCTACCTAGTTTATATCAGGCCAGCTACAGCTTATGTGAGCACAGTACCAGAGAGCTCAGAGATTTGAACTCTGATTGGATATGTGCCAGTTCAACTGAAAAGAGATCTCTTCCAAAACTGTGGATGCCTAATTGATCTCAAAGCCCAGAGGACCCAAGATAGAGCTATGTATAGATCCTTCAAGGGTTTGTGTACAGATGTGAGTGAAGATCATAGTTAAATTGAGCTGAAAATAAGAGCACCTTGACGTTAAGTAAAAAGATGCCCAATTTAACTTAGGTGTTTATATTTCCTTAAATTATACTTTCAAATGTGTATACTTCTTAAATAAAGTAATATTTCAATAAGGAGTTCTGTTTTAAGAAATATGTAATTGTTCTCTGCACTGCATTCCTTTGATGGAGGATGCTCAACTCTAGTGTGTGGAAAGATTTCATGAAGCACTTATTTAAAATGCACTTTCTGGTGCCTCACCCCTGGAGGTCCTCATCCAAGTAGGTCTGTGGTTAGGCCCAGGAATCTGCATTGTAACAACAATCTAGAGGATTCTGAGTGCCCTGGTCATTCAAGGAGCAAAGTTGTGACTATAAAATTGAATTTATGATTCTCCTCTGATATACATTCTTAATTTCTTATAATTTTCTGAAAGATCTTTTTTTGGGAAAGACAAGCAATATCCCTTAAAAAGTATTTTTTTTTTTTTTGCACATAATTACTAAGTTGCAGATAAGTCATTCCAGATGATTTTCATGTATAGGTCATGGAAAGAATTTATTTTTCATATTGTTTGCTAAGTTGTCTCATAAAGCACTAAACATTTATCATATGTAATTTCCTATGATTTGGATCAAACTATTAAATAGAAACAGACATTTAATCTTCACTTCTACGTATACTGGTTGATACTCTTAAATTGTATTTATGTGATTATTTCCCTCAACATTATAGAGAGAATGATCGTGCAATTATATTCTTTCCCCATTTTTCAAACTTAAGAATTCTATTTCAAAATCTAAACAATAAATTATCATACTAATGTTGAAAAATTATAGTACAATTAAACATTGTCCACATTGCATATATTTTATATATTTCCCTTTATAAAATATGTGATTTATGGGTAAGTTAATATGCCTATATGAAAGTTTAAATTTGCATTTCTGTGGGTTTTATTTTTGATCTTAATAATATCTTTTAAGCTACATGTAGTAAAAGTTGAAGTAGGAAGAAAAATAGTTACAGAATAGAGCTCTTTTGGTTTTGAAAGGAACATTTTCATTAGGAGAAAGAGTTCCCAGGTTCTATGTTAAATGTTCATAAGCATTTATACAATGATGAGGTAATTATTCAGGACATTATTGTTTATTAATTATTGGCTTCCATTCTAACCAACCATCAGCTAAGATATAAGGAAAATCTTTATTTAAAATTAGATTATACTTCTGTTTTGAATTTTGGTGGAAACGTGTGGGTCCCCTGCCCTCTAACTAATGCTGTGAGTTGGTCTGGCCTTACGAGACAAAAGACTTTCTAACCAAAGAATGTATTCTGATGGGAAATAACTTTGCTTAAAGAAATGTCTTATGAGGTATTGTCTTAGCCTATAAAAGAGAAACTTTTTTTTAATCATTCATAGATCTAGCACGCAAGATGGTTAGTTTTCTAGAGTGGGGATTGTGTGTGTGTGCGCTTAGTAGTGCCGGCACTGAGAATTAGAGTAAAAGGTTAACTGTTATTTTAGGAGAGTTTGGTTAAATCACGGGGACAAATGAACAGCTCTCAATTTTATAGTTTCACAGCATTCTTTCAGATCAGTGTGGAGCGGTAGGGAAAATAACTGACGAGTCCGTCTTTCATTTTCTGTCTTCCAGTCATCTCTACTCGGACTCCACCTCCGCCCTCACCGTTGCCATTTCCAACACAAGCTATTCTTCCTCCAGCCCCATCGAGCTACTTCTCTCATCCAACAATCAGATATCCTCCCCACCTGAATCCTCAGGATACTCTGAAGAACTATGTACCTTCTTATGACCCATCCAGTCCACAAACCAGCCAGGTAAACATAAGAGAGAAAATAAGGTTAGAGCCTAAGGGAGACGGAACAGGTCTAACTCTAAGACATGAAGCTTACGCATACAGTGTGTCTGGCAGAACATCAAGCTTTTCAAATCCATCTTCAGGAAGTTTCCTGGTGACTCAATAAGTTTTTTATTTAAAGGTGGCTGAATGACAGGTAGGAAGTGTGTTGCCCCAAAGGGGCACATTTGTGAAGATGTTTTTGGTTTGATGTTTTGGGATTTTCATTGACTGAAGAGAAAGTTTATCCAGAATGTACAATGACAAAAAAGCTCTGAGCTGGAGTTCACACCTCCAAAATACCTGGTTTGACACAGAGACAAAGTGCTTATTTCAGGCAGGAGCAAGGTATGCGCTAAAATAAACACACACAAAAGAAATTGCAGTTGTATTTATAGACCAACTATTAGGTATTAAAATAAGCTTTGGTAATGTAAACATTTTCAGTGTTTGATGACTACTTGAATATTCTTTGCACAGACATGACTACATTTAATAATGAGTGACATTACCAGAAGTGTCTTTTTTTTTTTTTTTTGGTAAACATTGTGCACTGGCTTTAGGGATTCATTGTATAAGTGTAGTGACTCATGTCCCTTTGTCACTCCCTAAACATGTGGTTTCTTCTATGAGAAGTCACTTCATAAGGATTTTGTATAAGAGGATTTTCCATAGTCAAGTAGACTGTGCCAAAGCTGGGTCTATCAATAATCGTAATATGCAAAATCTCTGATGTGATTTTGATCTTATGGGCTGGTGTTTGGCTTTGCTGCTTTACTTCTAAGACTCCTGTCCACTCCTTATTATACCTTTTAATGCTCTGAGGGATTTTCATAAACATTCTGTTGTGAATACTGTTCAATTACTAAAATGCCAGTCAATAGGATGTGCATAGTAATGAATTTACAAAGAAAGATCTGAAAAAAAAATTCCTTTGGTCTTAATTTAATTGTTAAAAATTGAACAAAATGGTCCTTTCTGAATGTTCCATTTTGAATAACAACATATCCAGCAACTTTTCGGTTACTTAAAAAGTTACCTGTACTTCTAGCTCCGTTGAGTAATAATACTAAACTAAGGACACCACTCTTGAATTTTGAATTTGAATTTAAACTATTTGTATTTTAGAGGAAAATGTTCAAATGGCGTAGCACTTTTATTGACAGTAATAATAATTACTAAGTAAAACAGTGGGATCTTAGTATATCATTTTAGAAATAAAATTTGCTGTCAGAGCATAGATTCAAAAGTCTTGGTTCCATAGAGCATTTTGCTAGACTCAGCTGGGAACGGTGCACACAAGGTCTGATTTTAATTTGTGTAGAGTTTCCATGAATAACAAAGTCTAATTAAGACATCCATTAAAAGTCCTTAACGTTAATTCAGTGTGGAAAATCTTAGAGTTCCATTGGATTTTTTTTTTAACTGATGTCTTAATTAGGCACCGTTAGGGGAAAAATTATGCAAATTAAAATCAGACCCTTAGTGTTACGAATTTCTTTAATTATTCAGTGCTTGTTTTACGTATATTTCAATTTTTTTATAAATTAAGAGGGCATATTAGGTGATAATCTGCCTATGGTGTTCTCAGTTTTTCTTCATAGTTTTAAGGTAAAGATCCAGCTTCTAAGAGAAGTATCTTACTCTCTCATCTCAATTAAAAAAAAAAATCCCCTCTCAGGATTTTATATAATAGGAGCAATGTAGTAAGTAGGATAATCCTTTCTTAATGCTGTTCAACTTCATCTTCAGATAGATGTCTCTCTTTTCATATCTACAGTACGAAAGTTCATCTGTTAACAGTGTTAAAAGAGAAGCTTTGTAGTGGAGCTTCATCTGTTTGAACTAATAGAAAACTGAAAAGAAATAACCCTCCCATTCTTCTGACCTTGAGTTTCAGAAAAGTTGTCTGTATTGGCTTGGGAATTCTTTCTTTGTGACTTCTCTTATTTATAAATGAGAGAAACGTCTGTTGGTTCATGTCAGTTCAGTTCCAGTAGACAAAGCTTGCAGCATGGGCAAGGTAAAATCATGTTCTTTGGCAGCATTTTCTTGACATTATTGTCATTCTTCTTCTGTTCCTCGCTCTCAGGTAGGTACTGTCGGACTGTTTTGGTGAACACGGTATACAGAAATGCTTTTTACCACCAAGTGTACCACCAGTGAAAATGAGACCTTCTTTCTTGAGTGAGATCTAGAAAGCAGTCTTTTGCAATGTTCAAATAACCAGATGATGATGGTCTGCTTTAGAAACAAACTACATTTTCTTCTTGAAAGTAAGAGCGGGTCTTTATAGTAAACTGCGGAATTGTTTTTGTAGGAAAGGTATATCTGCTTTGATTTTTAACTCCAACTCCAAAGCAATTAATTTGCATTTCAAAATAGAACTCTTGATATTCACCGTTTTAGCTCTAAAAAGTGGAAAAAATGAATAATTGTTCACCTGTAGTCATCTGTTCCTTCCCGGTATCCTCTAGCACTGCACTGATTTTGATTGTTAAGTCAAGCCATTGAGATGCCTTGTCCTCCCCACAGCAATTTGGAGATTAATTACATTGCTGCTGCACCAATTAGAGTGAGACAGACATGGTATTCAATGGAATATTTTAAATAAAATTAGTTTAAAGATATAACTCTGTCATAGGTTTCCGTAGGGGGAAACTCTGGTCAATTTTCCTGACATAAAGTTAAATACTTAAAATTACTTGTGATGAATAGGCAGGATATTCAAGGAGTCCATTTTCTTTTTAGAATAAATAATGGTGGCCTCTGAGGAACCCAACCGAAGACTTAGTTCATGTCTCTAAGTTACAGTATTTAAGTGTTATTAGCTGTTCCTCCTTTTCTCTAAAGAAATGACTACTTGTAATTTATGTACAGGTGTTTAGGTAAATATTCTGCTGCATTGCTTTCTTTGCCTTTAGCAGTGCAAATTATAAAGACTAAATATTTGTGGAGAATACCCTCGTAGCAAATTGTTATGTACACCATTCATTGGAGAATTCTAGCATGAGTGTAATTAAAAATAGCATTCTTTGTCTAGAAAAATACATTCTAGTATTTCTTCAAACAGTGTACTCTTAGGATTTTGTCTCCTACCATGGATACTATTTTTGCACCCGGGGCTGAAATTCAGATAATAATATCTTTTCTATCATTGCCCAGGGGATTTTCTCAGTTAATTCCCACAAATGTCAACAATAAATGTTTTGTGTAACTCACCATGCCCAACAATGGAAGAGTAACTCAAATAACAGTATATTTGATTGCCCTCTGCTTCACTTCAACGCATTTTAATTTACTTTGGGAATCTTTTATTGGTAGGTGTAAGGACAGACCTAGTTCAGCATTTTATATCATTGTATAGATCTGAAATTTTAAATGCTTTAAATATCGTTCAATCTGCTTGTATTAGTAAATCATCAAAAGTTGAGTGGAGATCCTAGAATCTAACTTGCTTGATGTGTGTGTCTGAGTGTGCCCGTGTGTGAGTGAGAGCTAGAGTTTTTGTATGTAGAAGAAGGGGCCTTGACTATAAACGAAGGAAATTATCAAGTTTGATGTGTTTGATTTCCTAGATGTTCTTGTCTTCTTTGTGTCAGTGGTATCATCATTTAGGTGCAAATTGTGTTCTGAAAGCCAGAACTGACTCACTGTAGAAAACGAAGAGCAGAGAAGAAGGAAGCACTGGTTCTAATTCTCACTAGCTCAGTAAGGACTTCCGTTTTAGCCTTGGGCTAAGCATTTAAGTCTCCACTTGAGTTTTCGGGCCTACTAAATGCAAGGATTAGTTCTGCCTGGCTCCCAAGGGTTGTAAAGACGAATTAACCTATATAAAGTGCTTTGAAGATGATGACTTTCTTTTAAATGCTGCTACGTCTTATTACTACTAACCGTTGGTTGGCCTCTCTGACTTGGACTTGAGAGGGCTTGTGTGGCCGTTACACACAGTGTGCAGGGTCCACGCGGCCAAGTGTGCTGAGTGGAGTTGTTGGACACGATGACTGCCTTTTGGATTGTTTCACCCGGCATTCTGTTTTTGTTTTGTAGCCTAACAGCAGTGGTCAAGTAGTAGGGAAAGTGCCTGGCCATTTCACTCCTGTCTTGGCACCCTCTCCCCATCCCAGTGCAGTGCGACCTGTGACCCTGACCATGACAGATACTAAACCCATCACTACATCCACTGAAGGTGAGGCAGCTTCACCTACAGCAACCAGTAAGTATTTCTGTAGGAAATGAGAAATGTCCATCAAAGGCGCCATTGGATATCTGATCCAAGGCGGAAAACACGGCAACTTTTCCAGCTACCCGACCAGATGGAGATTTCTCATTTATGTGGAACTAGCAGGCATGTATGTGGCCTGGCAATCACATGCTCTCTCTTATCAAATTTCAGTCCGTACATCATATTTGAAAAGGGAGAAGCTTATTTGTTTGAGTAAATAGCTATAGCAAAAATAAGAAGTCATGCCTGCTCGTTCAAGGTATACATTGAAAATGCACTAACATACTCAGTGTACAAGGTTTTTATATCACTCAAAGAGAGATTAGATAATTGTTACTTATTGGAGCATTCCTATAGAAATCAACCCCCTTCACAAGGCAGACTGAGTCAGTGCCTCTGTAAGATAATTCCGTGTTTACATTCCTGTAGGTTATGTCATTGTGAGAAACAGTCACACAGTGTTGGCTGCAGAAAACATCTCAAAGCTTAGTATTAGGCACATGTAAGCTACCTGCTCTTCCATTGTCTGCAACTTTTTTTTTAATTTTTTTATTATTTTGCCTATCATGGTACATCAGGTACTATACTTTTTAGCACGACCGTAACATTTTAAATGTCAGAGATTTATCCAGTGAACTTACATAGCACATACCAATAACCCAGATGATTTCTTTGCTTCTTTATATAGACTACTCATAAGTACACAAGGAATTATTACACAATTTTTCAATTGGCTTCATTCAAACTACCAGCTG